AACAGAGGAAGAAGGGCGCACAACTGGGCATACCCAAATTTAAAGAGGGGTAGGGAGAGAGTGAGGGGTGGCCTCCCTTGGTTGTACAGAAGGGTTGAGCACTTGGAGGAATTCTATGTAATTATGTAAACATTTACTGGGCTGGCTTGCTTGCCTGAACACTAACAATGCTTGCCTGAGATGTTTTGCTTCAGGGTGAAAAGGTAAAGATTAGGAAACCACCTGAAACTGCCTGAGACCCATTAAAGCTGCCTGAAAACCCCTCTGGTGACCCCAGCAGGAACTTTTCTCATTACACCCTCATTATAATACTGAAATCCCCACTCGGGGCACAGGTTATCTGCCGTTTTTCTATACGTGCGATGTATGTATAGCTATGTTCACTTACTGTGCATGTTCACCCCAAAACATACCTCAGTGCTCTATGAAGTAAGCAACGAGCCCTGTAGAGCCCTGAGGTCCTGTTAGGAGAGGCGTTGCTTTGGAACATCGCCAGTGAGCCCCTTGATTGCTGGCGTGTAACAAAGTTCCTACTCACAAAATCAACTCGGTGTGTTCTTTTGGCTGACAACCACCAAGTGGCTGATCCTCAGGTCAATCTGGTAGCAAAAGAGTGGCTAGAGATGTGAGCTAATTAGGAAGGTGCTAGTGCAGAAGGGTTGAAACTTCTTAGGGCTTTCGGTGCTAAGTTTTTTGGTGATTTAAAATTTTTGCAGGTGAATTGCTTTATCATTATCTTAGAGTCGGTATCAGTACTAGAGAAGTTATGGACGAAGCCATGAAAAAAGTTTCGGCTGCATCTGTGATTTACTGATTAAAAGAAACAAAACATCACTTTGAAATTAGAATGAATATTTATATATGAGGAATTAACAATATATTTGAAACAGGCAGCCGCAAAAATATTTACAAACACGTACTCTAAAACCTTGCCCTAATTACAATCCTGAGAGGATGTATAGTGTTGAGGAGAGAGCAAAATATCAGAATCAGTCTTGGGTCAAGTTCTATGACCCAGATAAAGTTATTCACGCTTGAGCTGCCTCAGATTTTTCTTCTCTAATATCCCTAAACTCACATCACTAAATTAATCATAGCATCTATTGTTGTGATACTTAAATGGGAAAATGTATATGAAGTACCTTGACTAGGGCCCCAAAGCACAGTAAATGTTACCACACTACTGTTGTTTTTTGTTACCATTGTTGTCGCTTTTGCATTTCTCCTTGTACCTTAGTTTTAACACTAGGTGGCAGCAATGCTCTCTTAAGCAATTTAAATGAAACTTGCTAACTGGAATGGATGAAATAAGTGAAGGTTTACACAATAGGAAGATATGTGTAAGGCACCAGAAAAGCATGGGGAGAGAGATCATAAATAGAAATAGAGAAAGGGAGGGAAGGGAGAAGGAAGGAGGGAGGGAAAGGAGAGAAGGAGAGAGAGGTGTAGGTAGGTTTAGAAATAATTTGATATTTCAAAAGAAAATACTGAAGTAGTCATTATGAAGGGGAAAACCAGGTCTTTCTTGGATATTCTTCTACCTTTGTAGGATTTAGTGTTGTTTTTGTTTTTAAATACATGTAGGGGAGTGGTGGCTATATTTTCTCTGTTGACAGTTTTTAAGGATCTTAACTAGTTCTAGATGAGATTTAGTAAAACGAGCTGCTGCCCAGAAAATGTAAAGCATAATGTGTTTTACTGTTCAGTTTAACCAAACTATTAATCTCAAAATTATAAAAATATGACTATTTTCCTCTGTGCAAAATATTCCTTCTACAGTAAGGCACAATGGTATATTAGTTATCTATTGTTCTTTTATGAATACTCCAAAGGTTAGTGGCTTAAAACAATAGACAATTATCTTTTATTTTCTGAGGACCAGGAACCCTGGAGCGGTTTAGCTAGGTGGGCTGGCTCAGGGCCTCCCATGAAGTTTCAGTTTAGAAGCTGGAGCTGTGATCATCTGAAGGTTTGACCTAGCCTTGATCTGCTTCCAAGATCCTACTCCTATGGTTCGTGGCAAGAGGCCTCAGTTCTTCACCAGTTGTTGGCTAGAGACCTCCATTCCTTTGCAGATAAATTTCTCCAAAAGGTGTCTTGATTGCCTTCTCAAAGGGCAGCCGACCTCCTCCAGGGTAAGTGAGCCGAGAGAGACTAAAGAAGGAAGCCCCCATATCTTTTATGACCTCATCTCAGAAGTCATAGTCTGTAACTTCCCCCATATTTGTTCAAAGTGAGCCATATAGGAAATAACTAAACACTTGTCAGGAATTGTATACGTATAATTGGAGTTCTCACAAGGAGAAATCACAGGCTATCCCATCTCTCTCAGTGTGGCCTGGACTGGCCACATCCTCTCCCTGGGTCTTAATTTCTTCATCTGTAAAAAGAGAACAAGCCATGGATCCATGTGCCACTTCAACTCTCAGGTGACCTGTTTCTGCCCCACCTGTTTGTGGCCTCAGCAACTTGGTCTGTTTTTTCACCTCTAAAATGAAATGATCTTACACAGTGGCTTTCAAACTTTTTAGACCCACTGTGAGAACTATATTTTGCATTGAAATCGCACATACACACATATGTGTATGAGTGCATATGTATAATAGAAATGAAAGTTCCACAAACAATACTTACACTTATTTGCGTGATGTACTCTCACCTCCTCCCCCTGCCATTCTATGTTAATTTATTTGAAAATTCAAGCTCTACTGGTTAAGGTCAAAATCTACGTGGATCTCACACTCCATTAATGGCTTCAGTATTCTTTGTGTTAAATGCTAACACCACCTTCACTCCTCACTGCTCCTTTTCCAGGGGTACTGGAATAGAAATGTTAAAGAGCAAGCGAGTCCTCACCTTCTAGTTCCTGGGAGGGACAAAAGCACCTTTTCAAGGTGGGCCAACCCTAAGAGCCTCTTCTAATTAGGCAGGAGCTAGTATCAGAGGCTGTGTCAGGGCCAAAAGGGCACTGCGTTTTAGCTTTAAAAGTTGGCCCTGCAACTCACTAAGCCATGCGACCCTGAGCAGTCCTTTAACCTCTCAGTTCCTTCTCCCTCTATAAAACTGGAGTCATAAGTATCCCTTGCCTATCTCATAAAGTTGTGTCTAGGCTCAAAATTAGATAATTAGGTACAGAGAATTTATTGACACGATCTTTAATCCTCTCAACAGCCCTGCAAGAGAGATAGAGCATTATGGGTGTTTGATAGAAGAAACTGAGGCTTAGAGAATTGACTTAGGCCAGACCTTAAAGTCAGCAAGCAGCAGAACTAGAATTCCAAACCAGGTCTGACTCCAAATCCCTCACGCAAAACGGAAAAGGAAACTGTTTCATGTGCCATTCAGTTGTGATCATCGGATGTATTAAAATATATCGATGCATCCTGAACCCCACCGTGTAATGACTTCAGAAACTGGCCAGCTTTTCTGATGCGATCGTGCACCTCACAGGAGCGCGTTACAGACCACGGCTGGGTTTTGAGTTTCAGGCTTTAAACCTGTCCCGACCCACTAGGGCGCGTGAACATGTAACAGAAACGCTTGCGCTCCTCAAGCATCACAGTGAGACTCGGTCACAGTGAACACGTCAGAATTAAGTGGGGCCCCCAAATGGTACCTCAACCAAATCGCCGAGTGGCTTCAATGTAACATCCTGACCCAAGCGTGTCGTCTCCAGGGAAAGGCCTGGTTTACAGCCCTCCTTCGCTAGGGGGCTTTGTTCCCTCATCAGGAGCAGGTCCTCAGCTGTGTGTCCCAGCGGTCCCCGCCCCTAGGGGACCCCGCGGGGCGCGTGTCCCCGGCTCGCCCCGGACCCCTCGCGCGCGGCCCCCCCAAGCCCTTTATTGGGCTCCCCGCGCGAGCAGGTAGGAGGCGCCTAGGTGGGGGCGAGCTCTGCCCTGGGTCCGCGGGATCGCGACCCGCCCCCCTCCGAGGGCTGGTAGGCGGGCGCGGGCGGGGGCG